TTAAAGATTTTTTTTTAAATTCATACATTTTACCTTTTTATAATTTATACCGTAAATCTGCCATTAAATATATTAAATAAAAAAAATTAAAAATTTTGCGTTATAGATGCCATAAGGGCGTATAATAAAAATTCAATTTTTTTTTTTAAGTCCAAAATAAATTTTTAGTTTGAAAAAATTTTTTTTTTTGCATTTCTCGACGTTTCAGGTAAAAATAAGTTAATTATTTTAAATTGGACCCACTTCGGATGCCATAAGGGTGTATAAAATAAATTTTTTTTTGGCAACCGATGTATTTTTGTATGAAACGTGTAGAAATGTAAAACAAAAATTTTTCTTCAAACTAAAAATTTTTTTGGACTTAGAAAAAAAAGAGAATTTTTATTATACGCCCTTATGACTTCCGAGATGGATCTTGGGAGCTATAAGGGCGTATAAAAAAATTTTTCCTTTTGGTAATTAACTTATTTTTACCTGAAATATCGAGAAAAGAAAAAGAAAATTTGTCAAACGAAAAATTTTTTTTCCTTAAGGTTTCCGGGTGCTATAAGAGCTTATAATTTTTATACGCCCTTATGGCATCTGTAACGCAACATTTTTAATTTTTTTTATTTAATATATTTTTAATGGCAGATTTACGGTATAAATTATAAAAAGGTAAAATGTGTGAATTTAAAAAAAAATCTTCTAAGTTGCTCTAGAACTTTTCAATTAATTATGTACTTTTCAATTTTTTCACAAATTTTTTTTTTAATTGAGAAATTAATATTTTAGAATTTTTTGTTAATTTTTATTATAAATATTATTTTTATATTTATTTATTTAATATTTATAAATATTATTTTTTATTATAAAAAATTAGTTTTTTATTAATTAAATAAAAATAAATAAATTTTACATATTTTTCAAATTACTCTACATTTTTAAAAAACTTAAAAAAAAAATTACTGTTGTAGAACCAATCGGTTACCGTGTTTTATCCGGTTTAAAATTTACAAAAAGAAATTTTTTTTTTATTTTTTAAATACAATATGAAATTGATATTATTATTCTTTTTCATGCAATTTTATGCCAAATGAAAAAATCTTATGTGTATGATTTATCAATTTATCATGAAACGTAATTTTTAGTTATTCATTCATGGAGTATTAAAATTATTTTAGAACTTTGGAAATATTAAAATAATCAATGAAATATTTATAAATCTGACAACATTTTAATTAGTTACAAATAAAAGACATCACCATGGAACAATCACATGTTTCGCACTGTCGAAACTAGTATTAAAAGTCTTCGATAGATGGCGCATGGCCGCAGAACTGTTCTTTTCTAGATACTTGACTTTGAAGTGTTAAGTTCCGAAAAGAGTAGAATTTTGGTACTCTATTAATGAATTTATCTGATAAAACTGAGGATGATAAAACTGCGTCGATTGCTGTCAACAGCGTGAAAATCGGTTGATATATTCAAAAGTTATCGCGGATTGAAAATTCCAAAAATAATGTTCTATGAAACTTCTATCAGACTTTTGAGCTGGAAGAGCTCAAATGCATCAAAATATTATCTCTTCAAACTCAGTGAGGTCAAAATATCACACAAATTATATTTTGAGCTCTAAAATCTCAAAAATGTCATAAATACAATTTTAAGCGCCCAGCAATAGAATTAGCATGCAAATAAAGTGCACGAAACGTTGCTAAATAATAAAGTTTCTTAGCGTTTTATTATGATCCTACATCCTCTCAATTCTGATTAAATATTTCGAAAACTATTTTGACCGATTCAGATCAATAGATTTTGAGAAATTTCCAAAAAACTAAAAAAAAAAATTTTTTCAAATGTCGTTTTTTTGGAATAATTTTTAAACGGCTTTACCGATCAATTATTAAAACTAATCGGTTCTTAACATAAAAAAAACTACGTCGATCGCCGCCAGTCCGGTCAAAATCGGTTGATTCGTTCGAGAGAAATCGTGAACGAAACAAATAAGAAAAAAATGAATGATTTGAACCGATTCGAATCAGTAGATTTTGAGAAATTTTAAAAAAATTAAGAAAGAAAATTTTTTCAAATGTGGTTTTTTTTGGAGGGCTTTCAAACGGCTTTAACGATTGATTCCAATAAAAATCAGCTCTAGACAATATAAAATCACGTCAATCGCCGCCAAATCAATTAAAATCGGTTGATTTGTTTGACAGATATCGTGAACAAAAAATTTCCAAAAAATCATTTTTTTAATATAACTCCGACATTTCTTTTCGGATTATTTTTGATAAAATAGAATAATCATTAAAACTCAAAAATCCGCCTCGATCGCTACCAAAAACGTGAAAATTGATTGATTGGTTTGAAAGATATTATTGACGAAATGTTTGGGAACAAGTGTTTTTCTAACACAGTTCCGACATTTCATTTCGAATCGTTTTTGATGAAATAGTATAATTATTAAAGCTCTAAAAACTACGTCGATTGCCGCCAACGCCGTGAAAATCAGTTGATCCATTCAAAAGTTATATAATAGCTGTTTGAAAATTCAAAAAATAGTGTTTTATCAAACCTTCATCAGACTTTTGGACTCGAAGAACTCAAAAGCATAGAACAGCTAGTGTTTGGGTTCGGAGAGCTCAAAAATAAAAAAAAAACATATTTTTGAGCTCGAAGAGCTCAAAAACATTGTAATATGTTGAATTAAGCGCTTAGGTACAGAATTGGCGGGAAGTTGCAGGGATGGCCCTTAGGGTCAACCGTTTTCCACATTTTTTTATTTTTATTTATTTAATTTATATGCCAAGGTAATAAGCCTAATGGCAAATACATAAATGTAACAGTTTTATTTAATCATGAACATATGACCGACCAAAATGGGAAAATTCGGTGTGAATGCCAATCAAAATGTTTTAATTACAACTGAACGAAGCAATATCAAGCTTTGATATTGAATAGGGTTCTTCTTAAAAGTTTAATGACAGAGCTGAAAAAAAAAATGATTCCTAAAATTGTATATATTTTTAGTTATCTTGACCACATTACCATATTTTGACAGTTATTTCCACTATAAGTTTTAAAAAACGGGTTTTTTCTCTACAATTGATAATAAATTTATACTAAGCAGAGTTTTTAATTAGTTCAGTAATCATTTTTCTTGCCACTAGTGTATTTTTTTTAAACATTTGTACGAGGATTATGGATTAAAAGAACAATTTCTCTTGACAAGATAGGAAACTTTATTTTTAGGCCCTAGTAGAGCTATGCCTTCGCGCAATCGCGCTTAAGCATGCAAAATAGGATACGCCCTTATGACTTAAAAAAAATTTTTTTTTTTAATTTTTCTTAAAACCAAAAGAGCGTATAACAAAAAAATTTTCAACTTTCCGCTAAGAAAATTGAAAATTAAAAAAAATCAGAAAGTTATTGGTTTTACCCCGTTTTTCGAAAATCGAGTTTTCATCAGATCTTCACGTTTTGAGGTCCTACAAAGCTTCCCTGAATGTTTTCGTGATGATGTCTGTATGCGCGCGCGCGCGTGTGTGTGTGTGTGTGTGTGTGTGTGTGTGTGTGTGTGTGTGTGTGTGTGTGTGTGTGTGTGTGTGTGTATGTATGCATGTGATCCTTTTATAACTTTTGAGCGGCTTCACCGATTGGAATGAACTAAGCGGAGTTCTAGAGAGTTCTACCAAACTTAGATTTCCTGAAAATTTGAACCGATTCGAACCAGTAGATTTTGAGAAATCTCAAAAATAAAATATTTGAAAAACTGTTTTTTTGGAATAACTTTTTAACGGCTTTACCAATCGATTCCAAAAACTAATCAGCTCTTAACCTCAAAAAACCACGCCGATCACCACCAGTCCGGTCAAAATCGGTTGATTAATTCGTGAGATATCGTTAACGAAAAAAATGTTTTTTTTCAGAATTTCTATGTAATTTAAGTCTGACCGGTTCGAGCTCTAAGATTCTTTGAAGAGCTCAAAAAGCTGCGTTGATTACCGTAAACCGCTAGAAAATCGGTCGATTTATTCAAAAGTTATTGCGATTTGAAAATTCAAAAAATAGTGTATATGGAACTTCTATCAGACTTTTGAGCTCGAAGAGCTCCAAAGCATAGAAAAGCTATCTCTTTGAGCTCGGAGAGCTCAAAATAGCACATAAATTGTATTTTGGAGCTCGAAAACATGAGTGCAATTTTAAGAGTTTAGGTATGGAACTAGCGGGAAGTTGCAGGGATTTAAAAGATAGAAATTGAAATTGTGCTATCAAAATTTTGAAAAAAGATTTTTTCAAATTTTTGGTTTTTGACGATTTGAAATTACAGCTCATTATGTGAATTATACATGATGAACACCCATATAATAAAAATAAATGGTAATTAATTTTGAATTTTATCAAAACGTTTATATATTTCATACGATCCGTTAATGAAAAATTTTACAAATAATAATGGTTGTTATTATTTATTATTATAAATGTTTTCTTAAGCTTAATAATTATTTAAGAGCGTCGTTATTTATTTTTTTTTTTTTTTGAGAAGCAATTATTTCCTGGGAATTATTGACGATCGATTACAGGTTTGATAGTATCGCCTCCACGAATTTGTCCCCAACCAATTAAACGCCAGTGTTTCTCAACACGTCTTGACAATGCTATTTTTTCATCAACCTCAGTACAGACAGGGTTGGTCAAGCAAATCTTAGCCAAATCAGCTTTTGTGGCTATAACACGTCCGCCGGTACTCAATGATCCAATATTAACAAGCAAAACTTCATTACGTGACAGTTTTGGTACCTAAAATAAAAAAAATGGTTTATTTACATGTAAAGAATAATTTTTAATAGAACTATCGACAGTTATAATTGAATAAAGGAAAGTCTGTTTGATTTGTTGAAGATCAAAGTACTTCCTATAGAAACTTTTTTAATAACTAGATAAGAATTATTAAACAAGATCCTTACTTTAGCTCCTTTTTTATCTCCTTCAGTTCTGACTCCAAGCAAACGTTTCAAAAGATAGTAGGAAATTTCCAATTCAGTAAATATTTGAGGCAAAGCACCAACTGCTCCTAATATTTGTCCAACTAAACGATCGGCACGACAAAGAGTTGGTTCAATTTTTGTTCCAACACCTGTTATTTAAAAGAAACATACATTTTATTAAAAATAAGTAAAAAATAGTTTCATAAAAAAAGATAGTTAAATATTTTCCTAAAATGTGCACTGAAAATAATTGAAAGAAAATCAGTTACGATTTTTCAATTCCAATTGTGAACTTTTCTAGATTTTAGAAAAGTAGTGGCTAAAGCTAAAAGGGCGCATAATGAAAAATTTAAGTTTCAATAAAAAATTTTGATAAACAGTTTCAGACAACAAGTTAGATCCAAAAAACAATCTAGTGTACAAAGCTCAATTATTATAAAAAAGAGCAAAACGAAAATAATCATTTAGTTTTACAGTTACTTCTGTTTCTGAATATAAAATTCAAATAGCTAAAATTTTTTTGACCTGACACATTTTTTTTCTCAAAATTCGTAAAAAATTAAATAATTTAAAAAATGAAAATATCAATTTTTCATTAAGAAAAAAAAATATTAAAAAAAAAAATTTAGTGAATTTTTCTTTAATTATTGTCTTGTAAGTATTATGGATACTTTGGATACGCTATAAATCAGAATAATTTTTTTAAATATTTACAATTTCAATTTTTAAAAAGCGTACAGTCAGAATACGCCCCTTTAATAAATTACTTTAGATAAATTACTCAGAAAAAAAAATTTGTTGGCCCTTCTAGCTTTAGGTTATAAAATTGTCAAATTCCTAATACCAAAAGGGTGCATAACTAAAGACATACGTCCTTTTAGCTTTGGAAAATCAATGATAGATATTTATGGGTAGAATATTCCCACCAGTCTATTGACGATAAAAAAAGTATGCGCCCTTTCACCTTTTGTCACGCAATATTACTTGTATTCATTTTTTAACTCATCAATTGTTTATAGATAACTTAAAAATATTAAAACTCAAAAAAAGATAAATTACCAATTAATCCACCAGGGACAGCAAATTGTAATTCATTTTGCTCAGCAAATAATGACACAATACGGGAAAATATGGGACGACATGTTAATTTTCCTTCACCATCTTTCGATACTAATCCTGGGCGTACTTCAATTTCCATTCCCACCTTAAATAAATAGTTAATTGAATAAAATTAAATGAACAGTTATGCATACTTGAGTTCCAAATCTTATTTTTTTTTTAATATTATTTTTCTCTTTACCTTCAAAACTCCCTTCAAAATACTACCACCAGCAACACCACCCTTAAGATCATCTACTTCACAGCCGGGTTTGTTGACATCAAATGATCGAATTACGATTAAACGTGGTTCTGAAGTAAAGTCCCGAAGGGGAACCGGAATTTTTTTGACAATGTACTCACAGAGTACTTCAATGTTGTACTTCAATTGAGCTGAGATAGGAATCACTGGTGCGCCTTCAGCTACAGTACCTACAAAATAAAATGAATAAATTTTATTTTAATTTAAAGAACCGATATTTTTTTTTTGTAATTACCACGATTGAAATTTACCTTGAACGAATTTTAAAATTTGTTCGTATTGCTCTCGTGCTTGACCTTCCTTTACTAAGTCAATTTTATTTTGCAATATAACAATGTGCTTCAATTTCATAATTTCAATTGCAGCCAAATGTTCCGATGTTTGTGGCTGTGGGCATGATTCATTACCCGCTGTAAAATAATAAACAAGCATTAATATTTAATTATTGATGAATAGAAAAACTTTAACTTAATGATTTCTTAATATTTCTAATTACACTATACTAAGTTTGGGTACTTTTGAAATAAATTTTAAAAATAATAGTGCTATTACAAGAACAATTACGAATAATTTAATGGACAAATGTGTGTGTTAAAAAAAATTTATAAAACCAATAAACTATTTAAAATTCCTTAAAAAAATTGACTATCACTGAAAAATTTATAAAACCGTGAAAAGGAACAAATTCTTATCAAGACCTTTCTGATGATACCAAATTTAACTATAAAAATTTCTTTAAAAATAATAATATGCTCTTCATAAAATTTTTCTTACTCTCTCAATTATTTAAATCATAAATGATTATCGCTGAAAAAAAATATCAAACCCAATTTATGATAAAGATATATTCATTACAAAATTTTTCTTAGTCTTTTAATTATATAAAATGTACGAAACAAAATAAATAAATAAAAAAATTACGTATATTGCGAAATTTGAATCTATTTATAACTACTTCAAAAATTTATCATAATAAGTTGATAATCTTTTTCTTCAAAGTCTTCACCGGCTTGTTTGAAGCCCCCGATGCTCTAAACTGTTTTGATTTCATCAACAATAATAATAAACAGAATCTAAGACACAACCGTCTGCTCAAGACCTCTCTTTCAAATAAAAACTACATCATCAACGGTCCACGCAACAGAATTGCGAATCTAGTCAATAAGCTCCATTCAGATGGAGACTTCTTCAACGGAACACTCCAATCATTTATTTCCAGATTTAAATGCATATTGTAATGATCGATCTGTCTCTGTCTCCAACTCTGAACTTTATATATTAATTATTCTCTTATCCTTTTTTTTTTTTTTTCTCTTATTCACCTTATTAACTTTGTTGTATAATGCCGATCGGCGTATGGTGTATATAAATAAATAAACTATTATTAAAAAGCATATGAAACATTGAAAAGGCACAAATTCAGACCGATACCTTTCCAATGATACTAAATTTAATTTAAAAAACTCATTTTATCATATAAATATTCCGGAGACAAAATTTTCCTTATTCTCTTAATTATACAGATAATTAAATAATTTTTTGATTAATCACCAATCAATAACAGTGCTGCATCCATAACAGCTGCGCCGTTAAGCATCGTAGCCATCAAAATGTCGTGACCAGGGCAATCGACAAACGAAACATGTCTTACTAATTGGAATCGTCCTGAGCAAGCAGGCCGAATACAAGGAAATGAGTCATCCTTGCTGGATCCACCAGAAATGTAGCAAGTTGGCCGGGGACATTTTGGATTATCACAATGGTAAATTTTTGCATTTGCGTACCCTGAAAACGATATATTCAAGTTAATAATCAATTTCAAATCTAGTTATATAAATTCTTGATTAAATTCACGATATTTTTTAATTTATTAATAATAATGAAATCCTCCTTATTTTTTAAATTACCTTAAGCTCATATTCAACACTCGTCGAATCAACATCCCTTACCATCTAATATAAATTATTAATAAACAAAAAGTAAGAAAAAAAAAAAGCCTTTTTTTGTGATTTATTTTTTTTTTTTAAGTTCATAATAATAATTATTTCCTTTAACATTTAGTTAATTAATCAAACAAATTATAATAATTCACATGAAACACTTAAATATAATTTTTTTGACGACATATCAATCGTGATAATTTTTTTTTTTGCAAATCAATTAATTAGTTATCACAAAAACCAACAATTTTATAAAACCATTTTAATACTAACACTTAACAACATTGTGCAGTAATAATGATAATAATAATAATAATGATATTAACAATGTAAAAAAGTATTTATTTGATAAAAAGCATTCACATAAATCATACAATGTGAATAAGTAGTAATTGAAAATAAAAATAAAGAATTTCAAAAATTCTTTTAAATTTTAAATTAAAACAGATATTGTCTACAACATTTAGCACCACATTGACATCTAGTACGGTTTTTTATTTTATCATCATCTTCGTTATTGTACGAGGAGGGTAATTCCAAGCGTTGTCGCAATAAAGAATCACCTCCACTATTACCACTTGTTCCTCCAATTCCAGAATTATTAACGTCTTTAGAACTATCAGTTTCTTTGCCACTTGCTTCGCGCATGTAATCGAATGTAATTTCTTCATCTTTAAAAATATCACGCGTAGCAAATAATGCTAATTTAGGTAAATTAGGATCAAGACAATCGATCCATACTCCGTAGACAGCGGCATTTGGATCACACGAGTGGTTAATAAAGTGGGAAATATTTCCGTAAACAGCAGCATCAACTGTGTAAGGGCAGTGCTCAGACTCGTTGTAATCCAGATCAAACAAATAAGTGCGCCCGGCAGCGTCATATTCTTTTCCACGTTTTTCGGCTTCTTCATTTGTTATAACTTCTCCGACATATTGAGTGATAAATGTCCCTTTTTTAATATGCTTTGTAGTTTTAACTCCCCAGCCTCGTCCATTTGTGCGAAAAATACAGAGGTTTAAATGTGAACCACGTTGAACAACACGGTTTGGACATTGGTCGTTGCAACGACAACGTTTGTTACATTCGTAAATTGGCGTGCCAGCTGGTACACGAACACGACAAGCATTTGTGTAAGGAAACAAACTGTCATTTTGTTGAAAGCAACAGTCACTATTGGCATTGCATGATGTACATTCACATCCAATTGGTGGTTCATCCGGTATAATAACACCTGCTCCAGGTAAGTAATCTTCGATGTAAAAAAAATCCGTTGGCGCTAGCTCTAAATCAACATTGTTTTCAATTCCAATTATTGGCTTACCATTTGTTATACTATTTATTTCACGTTTCCAATCATTTAGTGAATCTAACTGTTCACGTCGTGCTGTGCTGTACATCAAGCTTAGTATTGCTGCTTTTATTTTTTCAGTTATTGTCTTAATATCCGGAATTCCTTTACAATTAATCACATTGTTCGCTTTATTTTTGGATGCTTCTTGAACATTACTTGCATCATCGAGACTGTTTGCATCGTCAGTCTTAGTCTCATTATTATCATCTTTAATTCGAAAATATATTTTACAATTATTAATTAATTCGTCGTTATTGAAATTAATATTGTTAACCGAGCGATGACGCTTAATTAATTGCTTCATGTAATTCTCGACATCAACAGAAGTAGGATGAAAATTTTCCAACTCTCGAAATTTGTTCAGTAAATCAATTTGATTTTTTTCATAAGCTTCAATTAGCGCAGAACAATCAGCTAAATTAGAAATAGGTTCCCATGTATTACTGTTTGATGACCAATTTTTCCATTTTATATAATAAATAACTTCATCGTCTTTTATTTTTTTATCTAAAATTTTTTCAACTTCGTACACGCCTTTTTTCTTTCCTGTTTTTTTATTACTTCGACTAATTCTTCTTTTTAATTTAGATGTTCCTTTATCAGAATTAATCTCATTTAATTGTTTGCTTATATCTTCAAGATAAACATGGCATTGTTTAAGTTGAATATTTTGAGCAACCGGGTCAATAGTTTCCGAAATTGTTGGTGATGGAGATGGAGTTGGTTCTGGTGTTAACGGATTAGCTATCATTAGTTGATTATTTGTTTGGTTTGTTTGAATAGTAGGCGAAACAATTATGTCAAGATGTGAACGTTTTGGCGCCGGTGGTGGTGGTGTTATGCTTGATCTTGTACGTGATGTTGATCTCCTACGTTTGGAAGATATTGGCGGCATGTCACTTGTATCGTCTTGCCCAGGTACATCTGCCAATTCACCGGTTGTCGTCTCAGCTGCACGTGCTTCTGCAATGCCAAACAGTGAAAATTGGCGTCATTCTTTTTGTTTCATATTTTTTTTTCTGTTTTAATTTAATTTCTGCACACACCGGCTGCCATTTTTATTTTCATATATATATCTATGCATATATATTTATTGGTAATTTGATTTTTTTATTCACTCTCATGGAAATTTTCAATCCTCTTCCAAATCTTCGTTGAAAAATTTTTGTTCAATGCATTTTAATTAGTTTTTAGTATGAGCAATTTTATTAATTATTTGTAAAAATAAATATTTAAATAAATTAATGTCATGTAATTGTAATCAATTAGAGCATTATTGCTTTGCAACAATATTCATGTCTAATTGATATTTTTTTTGCTTTAAATAAATATATATTAGATAGATGATATGATTTAAGAATGGTTTTGAATTATTAAAATAATTTAAATAACTTACCAAGCTTAATAGTGATGTTACGTTCGAGCTCGTTCTTGAAACGTACAGTTTGGACACCTGATATCGCTTTAACAATTGTTGATTTTCCGTGAGCTACATGTCCAATCGTACCTGGAATTAATAAAAAAAAAATATTATTATAATTTTAAATTAACCATCAGTTTTTTCTCAACTTTGTTTCATTGTAATAAAATTTTATTATTGATTTTAAGAATTTATGAATTACTGTATGAAGATTTTATGGTTCTATAATCTACACCAAACTTTAGTTCCAGAAAATTATTTCTGTTTGTAAATATTATGTATGAAATCTGAGTACATAATAAAGCCTAAAACTTTATTTTCATTTTTTTTTTTTAATTTCTGAATTAAACTAAGCAGATTTTTGAAGCTTAAATTTGAGTATTATATATAGTAATTTGTCGTCTTAAAAGAAAAAAATTCATCAATTACTTTCTTAAAAAATGTAGATTTCAGATCCTATGCAAAAAAATGAAACTAATATATTATAAGTAATTTAAAATATTCAATCATATTAAAAACCAATTGAAGGATTACTAGAACACAATATTTAACAGAATATTTATACATGTAATTCTATATCTAACATGTCTTGGTAGGGAGATTAGGCTTGAAATTTTATCGAGTTATTGTAAAACTTTGTATAAATAACTTTCTGATTTTTTTTTTTTAAATAATTTTTTAGTCACAATTTTTTTCGTGAAATTTGTCTTGAAGAGCGTCAAATATATTTTTTTTTTAGATTTTTTAGATGTGATTTTTCTTTTAGTGATTAAAAAATAGAACATACTTGAATTAAAAAGTACTAGAAAATGATATCAGTAATAAAATATTTGTTTGAAAAAAATTCTTAAGTTTACAATTTTATGATCATTAAAGTATTTACACTGAAAAGTAAAAAAAAAAAAATCTTTTTAGTACTACACTTAAATTTTTTAGCTGATATAATTGGAACTACATTTAAAATACTCACCGAAACAAGAAATTTTAAATTAAATATTTTGTGAAATTGCAAATCTATTTATCTGAGAGTAATTAAAATCCATAAAACCAATTTATTAAATTATGATTTTTTTTTAGTCTAATGTATTAGATTTTAATTTACTTTTGTGCAAAGTATTTTTTGTTAATACTGATAAATTTAGTAAAAATTACGCGATATTTCAATTGAATAGAAAATAGTTGTGTTTTACAAATAAAAAAATATTTTGTCTATTTTCGTCTACTCCTACAAAGACAATATTTATCTAACTCTAGGGCATTTTTAAAACTATCACTAAACAAATGATTATTTGTCGTAAGTGAAATGATAACTAGTTCTATTAACCGGTTTAAATACTCGCATAATAACGTGTTAAAAATGAACCATTATACCATACAACGTGGATTATTGATAAATTTTATAATTATAATTATAAAGAATTTTTTTTTTTTACCAATATTAATTGTTGCCTGGCGACTGATAACTTCAGGTGACAAAGCTGTTAGCTTGCTCGTATCCTGAAAAATTCAATGGTGGAATTAGAAAAATTATTAGTACTTGAAGTTTAAAAAAATGTCGTTCATTTTTGGATGAATTTTTACGGCAATTATGAATAGATGATGATGCAATCAAAATTTTTTAGGTTAAACGTAGAAAATAAAAATGATTAATTAGTGTGTAATTAAGAAAAAAAAATATAATAAAATAAAATTATTACCAGTAATTTTAAATCTTGTTGCATTTTGTTTTGAACAGCAGTACCTTCATCACCACCCATTATTTTTCAATATTTTATACCAGGTCCGATAATATATGTATATTAAAGATTGATGAAAAAAGAGCCTCTTATTCCGCCGAAAAGAAAGTCCTTATTCTGAATAATAAAAATAATAAATTATTGAATTAAGCACTGAACACAGTTTATACCATTATTAAATTGCAGCTTTTAGTTTATAATTGTTAAATACAATATAAAATTTCGGCTACAAGCATAATTGTGATAACATACATACGTTTTTCAGATATTTCGGTTTTCGAGCTTGCTCACGCTACTAAGATAGAGACCACAAAATTTTAGAAAAAGAAGAAACCATACATATCAAAGCGGATGCTAAATCTATGGTGTGACGCGTACGAACTTGTCGAGATGGTTTCAGCGCCATCTGATCCGTAAATGGCGCGAAATACTCCCACCGTGAGACATCACTAATTGATTGCGTTCACGGTAAAGAAAGGAAAAGTAAAATTACAGAACAAAGATGAAAATATTATTAATTAAAAAAAAAAAAGAATATTTTTTATGTCAATTTAAATCATCTCTGACAGTGTGTAATTTAATCTTGACGCGGAAATAATTCGATTTGGTGAGTCTGGCAAATTGGTTGTGTTCAGCTCAAGATTACCAATGATACTGAACTTAGCTGACATGTGATGATTTCTAGGATTTTTTTAACAAATAAATTATTATGTAAAAAAAAAAAAAAATTTCTGAACAATTACACTTATAAATATATCAAAATATATATTATTTATTTGTTGTACAAGTATAAAAAATGACAAATGTCTGCTAACTTCAGTTTCATTGATTATACCATGGAGGCTAATGCTTAGTTTGACTGAACACTACTCTTTTGATACCGGTAGAAATTACCAGCATTTGGTTACATTTCACTTGAGGTCAGTGTCTATTTTTCATTGGTTAGAGAGAAAAAAATTAATAATATAATAAACGCCTCTTTTATAAATTATCAATATTATCAAGTGGAATTTGACATTTGATGGTTCTTTTTCATTAAATAACTTCTGTACAAATACTTTTTTTTTTAGTTTTTCTGAATCCGTTAATTGTAAAAAATAAAAAATAGTCAAATAATTTACATTTAACAAATAATCCAATTAATCTTTAAACATGGTAAGTACCAAAAATTATGTGTTTTGGCAGCAACTGAAATTATTTAAAATTAAAAAATTATTAGACAAAATTAGTTTAATTAACAACATATTGATTTTTTTTTATTTTTCAGAAAATTAAAAATTTTTTTCATTTGGAGTCAACAGAATTTTTTTTACTGTTCTCCTGTTTTGATAAACAGCATAGAAATTATTAAAAATTTTTAATGAAATTTTTTACCCAAGTTTTTGATTTATAATTTATGAAATTTATTTGCAGATTCGTTTTATTTTAATTCAAAATCGGGCTGGCAAAACCCGGCTAGCTAAGTGGTACATGAATTTTGATGATGATGAAAAACAAAAATTGATTGAAGAAGTTCATGCAGTTGTTACCGTTCGTGATGCTAAACATACGAACTTTGTGGAGGTTAGTAGTATATTTAATAAATTTTTAATCTATTGAATTAACTAAATCGAATTTTTTGTCATATAATTATATAAGAGTAAAAAAATTGATGATTCGTAGAATGAATCAGTTAGCTAGAGTTGATAAGAATTAATTGATCTTGACTTTACGCTTGATAATAACTATTTACTAAAAATTTTTTCATTTATTCAAAGTAATATGTATTTATTCTAAAGTTTATATTATAAATAATAGCTTTTTGTGTAAAATTACCCGAGAAAAAAATTGATAAAATCATACCTTGATTGATATCGTTAATATAATACTCATATTTTTTTATGATTGATCACTATTATTTTTTAAGTCATACAGGTATTGAGAGATCAACAAAAATGAATTTATGCATAGTAATTATTAAATTTTTAAAAATTTTGTTATACATACATATTAGAATATTTCAATAATTTTAAACTAGCAACCTGCAGTCACTTTGTTACTACCGAGATTTACAGATTATGAATAAGAAAACTGTGGCTGAATGATTTTTTGATATTTATAATCACACTATACACAGTTTGGATAAATTTTAAAATCAATAGTGATACCACAGAATCAATTACGAATAATTTAATGAGAAATGTGACGGAAAAAATTTATATAAAGCCAACAAACTATTAAAAACTCCTCCAAAAAGTTGACATAAAAAATTGATTACTAAAAAATATATAAAACTAAAAGGAACTAATTCTTCTCAAGACCTTTCTGACGATACCAAACTTAACTATAAAAATTTTTTTAAAAGTAATAATATGCTCGTCATAAAATATTCTTTACTCTCTCAATTATTTAAATCATAAATGACTATCGCTGAAAAAAATATCAAACCTAATTAACGATAAAGATATGTTTGGGCCAGTTTTTCAATACGGGATAAAATTTTATTCAATGCTAAAATATATCTACATATTTGAGGTACATAGATATACTGACAATAATAATTATATCTTGGATAAAATTTTATCCCGGATTAAAAAACTGGCCTTTAGTCTCTCAATTATATAAATTAATTTTTGACATAAGGTAAAAGACCCAGTTTTTGACACTGGCCTAATTGTTTGACACTTTCAATTTTATTCTAATTAAAAAAATAAAATCTTTTCAAAAAACCAATCATCTTAAAATTTATAATTAAAAATTATATTTATTAATTTATTAGAGTCGATTTGTTTTTTTTTTTTTTTTTTTTAATTAAAATAAAATTGCAAGTGTCAATCACTCGACCAGTGTCAATGACTGGACTTTTTATCTTATAACCACATCGACATGTACAAAACAAAATAAATAAATAAACAATTTATCGCGAAATTCGAATCTATTTCTAATTACTTCGAAAATTGACCATAATAAATAAACTAATGCTGAAAAGCATATGAAACATTGAAAAGACACAAATTAAGGTCAAGACCTTTCCAATGATACTAAAATTAATTAAAAAATTTTCCTTATTCTCTTAATTATATAAATATTTTTTCAAGTCATGCTGTATTAAAATTAATATATTTGTTTTTTTTTTTTTTTTTTTTTTTTTTTTTTACAGTTTCGTAATTTCAAAATAGTATATCGACGGTACGCTGGACTGTACTTTTGCATTTGTGTAGATGTTAATGATAACAATTTATGTTATCTTGAAGCGATTCATAATTTTGTTGAAGTATTAAACGAATACTTTCACAATGTCTGCGAATTAGACCTAGTATTCAACTTTTACAAGGTAAGGATGCTTTATCACTGCCCTTAAACTTCTGGAATTTTATTTTTTGTACGATTTCTAGACCCAATTACATAATTGATCGTAATTTATTGTATAGTCAAATTTCAATAATCCTATACAAAAAATTAGTGACTATCTCATAAATTTTAGTTGTTTGAAAATGTATCAGCTTACAAATATAATGATAAATATTTTAAAAGTGTTGAAGTGTCCGATTATTGAGACTTTACTGAACTGTGATTGATCTTTGAGTAGACAAGTTCAGAAGGGAAGGTTTAAAATTTTGTGTAATTTATATTTTTAATTTTTATTTCAGGTGTATACTGTCGTAGATGAGATGTTTTTAGCAGGAGAAATACGAGAAACCAGTCAAACAAAAGTATTGAAACAATTGTTAATGTTGAATTCATTAGAGTAAAATAATCGTTTTGAAATTATTTTTTTTTTTTAAGATAATTTATGAATTATATATATATATATATAATTAAATACTTTAAAATAGCTTATTACTGTAATGTTTTATTTTTTTAAGTATCTTATAATGTACGATGTTTATTATAGCTGATAAGTTGAACAAAATGACAATTTTTTTGTGTTCTAAGAATATTACATTAAATGTAAAATTACAATACTAAAAAATAGATATAAATACATACATGCAAACTAAAAAGATGATTTATTCTATTTAAAATAAAAAAAACCCCTATTTTAGCATAAAATGTATATTTCTCATTCAATAAATTTTTACAGTATCTTATGTACAAATATAATTTTATAAATAAATTATTATTTAAATAATAAAAAAATATACATAATTTTTAAGATCAAGTTTTTAAATCATATGCTCTTAATTAATTATTTATTTATTTTTATAAAACCGTAAAATCTTTCTGCTGAATTTGTCTCTTTATCAACTTAATAATGCTCATTAAATAATTTTTTTTATGAAAATCCATAACAAATAACAAAGAATTATCACCATGCTCATTCAATTCGGATGAAACTACAGGATTATTACTGCCAGTAGCATGACAATAATTGTGTAATCTCCCACTTAGTATATATTGTTCTACCCTTGTTCTCATTTCATCGCTAATTTCTCTCTGTTCATCAGAATAAGAGTGATTTTTTGACTTGTTGGTATTTGAAGTTATTGAAAATACTAATCTGAATAATTTAGAATTTTTCGTATTATCTTCCGAACAATAAAAATCATTAAACGAAAACATTTTTTGTACATTATCATTCTCAATATTAATAACAATTAATTTTTTTCTCGTTAAAATTAATACAACCGGTTTTTTTTCATTAGAATCAACAAAATCTGCATTGACTAAATACAAAATATCATCATGATTTTCTGTAATATAATCCATAAGTTTCCATAAAAATCGACTTTCCATATTATGCAAATCATTAGAAGTAATTTCGAAATGACGCTTTGGCGAAGGCAATGGATTCCAACCAGTACCTTGAAGTAATCCTTGTCCAGTTAATGCTACCAACTCAGCAGCACCACTAAGAGGTTTTGTTAGCACTCCAACAAGGCCTAATCCAACTCCAGTGACGATTCCTCGAGTAGTAGAGTCGTTTGACAAATAATTCTGAAGAGGATGATGAGCTAGACCAGCAACAGCTGCTAAAATACTAATTCCAAAGCTCGTTAGACCTTGATAGAAGCCCTGAGTCATACCCTGAGGCTTTAATCTTCTTGATTCTTCTTGTCGCTGTAAATGCTCATTGTCGAGCGTCAAGCGGTCAAGATTTTTTGCAACACTAGACGCTAATTTAGTTACTGAGTTTACAGTGCCGGCGGTGACGTTTTTCATGAGACTAGCTGATCCATGAGTGATTCCTACAATAAAGCCCCAAGGACCATGCAGTAGTCCCTGGAATGGTAAAGATATAAAGTCTTTCAGACCTAATCCTACCGCCTGAGCAAAACTTCCTGGAGATCCAAGAATTTCTAATGAACCAACCACCCAGCCTGCGCCGAAAATTGCACCTGACAAGTAATGCATCGTCAGAGCATTGCCCAATCGATAAGGCGTTGTTATGAGATTATGTCTTTCGAAAATAGCAAAGTGTAATGGAGAATGATCCAAAGCTATGTAAAGTCTTACTGATGTGTGAACGCTCAGAAGAATTGAAACCGGCTCAATTGTTAAATTTTGCAGTCTCAATGGAGAACTTATTATCTTTGTATCCATTATAACGTTAGTCGGAATTCTGACTCCTTTAATTAATTTATCCTTTAAATGTTTCTTCATTTTTATCCTTAAATTATCAGAAGATGTAAAAATATAAGGCTGGATTATTATCGAGATATAATCTAATAATTGAGAAATAAATTTATCTTCAATGTAAATATTCGTTGGTAATATTTTTATGTACACATTTTTAAATGCATTTCTATTAAATATTTTGTCCAGTGAAAGTTCTAAAGTAAACAAAAACTCGTCTTTTAATCCTAATACACTGGACTCGGAATTATTAGATAAATCTACCATCATTTTATTCATATTTGTTGGTTTTTGGTTGATAAGTACAACTGGAAAATCGTAACCACCGTTATTAAATAATTGATTGTCTAGCTGTAAATCACCAATTATTGCTTTTAAATTGAGAGATTTAGCATTTGATGTTATTGTTATAAATGTATGTGTTAAATAAAGGGCTGCGACTTCCTTTGAAATTCCATTATTATCGTCTTGAGTAATTATAATATTAACTTTGTGTAAATAGAGAGTAAAAACGGTATCTAAATTTTCTAAATTTGAATTATTGGCAATATTTTCTGTCGATAAATGTGTACTTTCTGTATCTTCAAGCTTCAAATTATCATTATTATAATTAAAATTATTTACTGATGACGGTTTGATATTTTTAACAGCTGAAAATTTTGAATTATCACTTGATTTTTCGTTTTCTGTGATTAAACGGCTTCTTATGTCACGAACAGATACTTCAATATTAGATTTCGGTTCGATGTTTATAAAAATAGTGTGTCCCCAACTGGATACAATTATTTTAATAGGACCATAACGGTCCAGGTATATAAACTTATCAAATTTAACAGGATAGTCAGTAGGATATTCAATCAATTTCATAGAAATAGAATTATTTTTCAATTTATCAACATCAATTCTGTTAAAATCTTGGTCCTTTTGTTCAAGCGGAATACACAACCACAGTTGCGCAGAAATTTTTTTGTCTATTGAACTATCAGGAATCCAACTTCCGAATTTCTTAAGTGTATAATGACAGGAGTTTCCTGGTCTTATATTGCATATCCTGTTAAATGGTGGAGATTCAAGTTCCAATGAATCTAAAGTTCCATTTGGATGCCCAATCATTACCGTAAATGAACAAGAATTGGTGATTGTAAATTGCGGGAATGTGTCCTCAATAATTGTGATATAAATGATGTCATGGTCCTTTTGAGATGTAATAATTATTGGAATAGTTTCACTTCCATTAATTACTGAAACACTATTTCTTCCGAATATTTGTTCGATTTTTATCGGACAAGACCAGCAGTAAATATCATTTGATTCCTGTAACATCAGTGAAATATATGAATTAAAATTATTAGCTTCACAATTGATGTTTCCTAAATTGTACCAGCTTTCAATTGGAAGCCCTATATCGTCATTTTTAGACGGCGGTAAATACAATTGAATTTCTGTTAAATTACTAGTAAAGTCTACGGATGAACACTTCTTGTCAACACAAATGGAAGCTAGTTTAAAAGAATAACTCGTCAGATTACAAACAACGTGACTGCTCATTATTTTGATAATTCTTGTGCTATCAATAGTATGCGAGTTGATGATCAAACAAGCTGTCGTAGATCCGCAGTCGATGAAGATTTCTATGCTTCCTTCTAGTGGGATCAACCCGTTTATTTGTGGCTTGATAAATCCACGATTAGATTCGGAATTTCCGAATTGAAGTGGAGGTGACTGAAATTTTCTGTTTGAGGACTCAATTTCGATGTGAAATATTGCTGAAATTTTTGGCGGTGTTGTAATACTATTGCTCGGAATTTCACACATAAAATCTATTTCTGGTGATACTAAATTTAGATTTTTACAATATGTATTCAGAATAAAACACCAAGGACGTATTTCAACTAACAGTGTGCTAGAAATCAAACCAGCGTCGCGGTATTTTATTTGAATGTAACTTTGGGATTGAGCTATAGGAATCCAGTTGTAATTCTCAAACTCTGATGGCCAAAAATCTTTCTTACCATTTTTATTTTCCGATAATCGAGTCAAAATATCATCAATTTTTTCGTTTTCAGAAACTTTGAAGAAACTCCGCTGATCAACAGAGTTGTACGAAATTGGAATACTTAAATTTGAGTTTTCTTCACTGAAGATAAGTTTCAATGAATGAATGTGTTCAAATGTACCTGGACAATGAATTTGCTGTATTTCACCGCGACCAGTTAAAGTTGAATTTATTGATGAGTTGAGTGCTGGTGTTTCAATAGTAATGTCCACAGGATTCGCCAGCCACGATTGTAATAAATACAGTGGACTTAAAACAACAAGAATTTTAATATCACCCGATAGATTTTCACGTATATTACGAACCCAGATACATACGAATTGATTTTTATTGTTCAAAGGTAATTTAACAAGCCATGGTTGATCACATTTTGGATTCGCGTTCAATGGAATGTCTCCAGTCCAAGATGTGACACTTGTTAGATTTAAAAATCTCAGTCTCATAGTAACGTTGCTTATGTCGTTGATTATAAAAGATTGTGGTGGAGAATTTCCTGATAAAGTGAAAATAGATTCTGATTTAAGAATTTTATTATTATCCGTTGAATTATACTGGATTAATTTCAATTCAAAGTCCTCATTCAATTCATTTTTTACAACTAATTGTCCTGTGAAGAATATAACTTTCTGAGTGGACATGATAAATTTAGTTTTGTAATGCAGTTTAACTTTATTTTTACTGTTTGTGTTTATTTCAATAACATTATAATCGCTGTTATTATTTACTTTAAATAGGTCACTCCAAACCCAAGTTTGATCTATTTTAATAGCAACACGTAGCTTTGAGTTAGATTTTAGTCTCCATGAATAAAAGTAGCATTCGCGACTTTGTAAAATAATATCATCGGTTGTTTTGTCTTGAGAAATTCTTATTGGTAAATTGCAATCATTAGCCAGAATAATTTTACTGAAAATACTGCAGTTTCTAAGACTTGAATCATTTTTTAGGATTGAATTCCAGAGATCTAACGACAGTATCACTGTATGAGCGACTTCAGGTCCAAATCTGAATGTCATTTCACTTACTGTCAATGATAATTTAGTATTACTCAATTTATTTAATTGAGCTTTAAATTCTAAAGATTTAAGTACTTGATACATTGTCATTGATTCGTAATCT